TTCCTCGTGTTGTGGTGTCCCCCAACCATCACATTATTTTCATTGCTACTTCATAACTGTAATTTTGCTCCTGTTATGAATTGCAATGTAAATATCTGACGTGCAGGATGTATTTTCATTCACTGGACCAAATTTGGCACAAATGATATGCCCAAATTTCAATATTGGTGGGGCTGGGGGAATTGATTTTGTCATTTGGGAGTTGTAGTTGCTGAAATTTATAGTTAAACTACAATCAAAGAGAACTCTGCCATCTATGGAACTGAACCAAATTTGGCACACAAAACTCCTATGACCAAGAGAAGATATTGGAAGGGTTTGGGGGGGATTGATTTCAGTTTTAGAGTTGTAGTTCACCTACCTCCAGAGAGCACTGTGGACTCAAACATTAATGGATCTGGACCAAACTTGGCATGAATACTCAATACGTGCAAATTTTGGGAAAAATAGACCTTGGCATTTGGGAGTTGAAGTTGCTGGGATTTATAGGTAATCTGCAATCAAAGAGCATTCTGAATCCACCCCATAAGGGATCTGTACTAAACTCGACATACTACCTAGATGGCCAACATTGATTACTAGTGGGGTCAGGGAGGGGCTGTTTTTGAATTCTGGGAGTTGTAGTTCACCAACACCAAAAAGAAAGAGAAGGACAGGCAGAGAGATATTCTGCCTTCTCTGCCAAAAGGGTTCCTAAGACCATCAGAAATGTGTGTTTTCTGATGGTCTTTGGCGACCCCCCTGAAACCCTCTCGCAACCCCCTCGGGGGTCCCGACCCCCAGGTTGAGAAACACTGTTCTAGAGGCATTCTCTCCTGACGTTTCTCCTGCATCTATGGCAGGCATCCTCAGAGGTAGTGAGGTCTGTTGGAAACTAGGAAAATAGGGTTTTTTAATTCTAGAGTTGGAAGAGACCCCAAGAGCCATCCAGCCCAACCCCAATAGATAGCTAGCTAGAATAGATAGGTAAGAAAGATAAACCGGCTTTGTAATTATTTAGGAGTTAGCCATGTCTATCCATCTAGCCATCCATTGATCTATCTATCTATAGATAGATATATGGGTACTATAGAGAGATAGTGAGCGATAGATCTATGTATCTATCTATCCATCCATTTTCAAGAAACTCAATTGTACTACTTTTTAAAAAAATAAACTGGCTTTGTAATTATTTAGGAGTTAGCCATATCTATCTATCTAGCCATTTATATTTATAGATATATAGGTACATTAGATAGGTAGATAGATAGACAGATCAATGGAGGTTTTGTCATTGTTTAGAAGACCTATCTATCTATCTATCTATCTATCTATCTATCTATCTATCTATATCTGCCCATCCATTGATCTATCTAGCCATTTATATTTAGAGATAGATATATAGGTACTATAGATAGGGGGATAGATAGATCATTTGAGGTTTTGTGATTGTTTAGGAGATACATCTACCTACCTAACTATAGGTCATAGATGGATAGGTCAGATAGATAGATAGCAACTCTAGAGCTGGAAAAGACCTCAAGGGCCATCCACTCCAACCCCGATAGATAGATAGATAGATTAGATAGATAGATTAGACAGATTAGATAGATAGGAAAGATTGTATAGGATACGATAGGTCAGATAGATAGATAGGTAGGTAGGTAGATGGGTAGATGGATAGGATAGGATAGATAGATAGCAATCCTAGAGCTGGAACAAACCCCAAGGGCCTTCCAGCCCAACCCCAATGTGTAGATATATAAATAAATAAATAAATAAATAAATAGAACAGATAGATTAGATAGATAGGAAAGATAGGATAGGATAGATCAGATAGATGGATATCTACCTATCTGACCTAGATAGATAGCAATCATAGAGCTGGAAGAGACCCCAAGGGCCATCCAGCCCAACCCCTGTAGACAGACAGACAGATTAGACAGCTTAGATAGATAGGAAAGATTAGATAGGATACAATAGGTCAGATTGATTGATAGATAGGTCAGATTGATTGATAGATAGATAGGTCAGATAGATAAAATAGGATAGGTCAGATAGATAGATAGGATAGGATAGGTCAGATAGATGGATAGGTCAGATAGATAGATAGCATATGATAGGTCAGATAGATGGATAGGTCAGATAGATAGATAGACAGACAGATAGCAATCCTAGAGTTGGAAGAGACCCCCAAGGGCCATCCAGCCAGAGGTGGCCCTAGGTAATTTTCAACGGTAAGCAAACAGTATTTTGCACCCCCCCCCCCCAACCAACCAATCACTGATATCTATTTTCTGTGGGAGTTCTGTGTGCCATATTTGGTTCAATTCCATCATTGGTGGAGTTCAGAATGCTCTTTGACTGTAGGTGAACTATACATCCCAGTAACTACAACTCGCATATGTCAAGGTCTATTTTCCCCCAAGGGCGCCTCAAGAGTGCCCCTGGGCAAAATTAACTATACTGCAAATGCTTACTTTGTGTAATGGGTTGAGCCGCCCCTGCAGATAGATTAGATAGATAGGAAAGATTGGATATAATAGGTCAGATAGATAGATAGGTCAGACAGACAGATAGATAGATAGATAGGATACGTCAGATAATAATAATAATAATAATAATAATAATAATAATAATAATAATAAAAATAGATAGATAGATAGATAGATAGATAGATAGATAGATAGCAACCCTAGAGCTGGAAAAGACCTCAAACCTAATAGATAGATCGATAGATAGATAGGTCAGACAGATAGGTCAGATAGGTAGGTAGATAGGATAGGTCAGATAGATGGATAAGTCAGATAGATCGATACATAGATAGATAGCAACCCTAGAGCTGGAAAAGACCTCAAGCGCCATCCAGTCCAACTCCAATAGATAGATAGATTAGACAGATTAGATAGATAGGAAAGATTGGATAGGATATGATAGGTCAGATAAATAGGTCAGATAAATAGATAGGTCATGATAGATAGGATAGACAGATTAGATAAATAGGATATATTAGATAGGATAGATCAGATAGACAGATAGATAGGTAGGTAATTGGATAGATAGATAGATAGATAGATAGATAGATAGATAGATAGATAGATAGATAGCAATCCTAGAACTGGAAGGGATCCCAAGGGCCATCCAGTCCAATCCCAATAGATAGATAGATGATAGATAGGATAGACAGATTAGATAAATAGGATATATTAGATAGGATAGGTCAGATAGATAGATAGACAGAGAGACAGATAGCAATCCTAGAACTGGAAGAGACCCCAAGGGCCATCTTGTCCAATCCCAGCTGATAGATAGATGATAGATAGGATAGACAAGTTAGATAAATAGGATATATTAGACAGGATAGGTCAGATAGACAGATAGATAGATAGGTAAATAGATAGATAGATAGATAGATAGATAGATAGATAGATAGATAGATAGATAGATAGATAGACAGACAGACAGACAGATAGCAATCCTAGAGCTGGAAGAGACCCCAAGATAGGGGTCGATAGAGAGGAAGGTAGGTAGGTAGATAGATTGGGAGGAAGTTAAGTAGATAGATAGATAGATAGATAGATAGATAGATAGGGAGGAAGGTAGGGAGGTAGATAGATAGGGAGGGAGGTAGGTAGGTAGGTAGGTAAGTAAGTAGGTAGGTAGATAGGGAGGAAGTCCAACCCCAATAGATAGATGATAGATAAGATAGACAGATTAGATAGATAGGGAGGAAGGTAGGTAGGTAGATAGGAAAGTAGGTAGGTAGATAGGGAGGAAGGTAGGTAGGTAGACAGATAGGGAGGAAGATAGGTAGATAGATAGATAGATAGATAGATAGGGAGGAAGGTAGGTAGGTAGATTGGGAGGAAGTTAATAGATAGATAGATAGATAGATAGATAGATAGGGAGGAAGGTAGGGAGGTAGATAGATAGGGAGGGAGGGAGATAAGTAGGTAGGTAGATAGGGAGGAAGGCAGATAGGTAGGTAGGTAGGGAGGAAGGTAGGTAGGTAGATAGGGAGGAAGGTACATAGGTAGGTAGGTAGATAGGGAGGAAGGTAGGTAGGTAGGTAGATAGGGAGGAAGATAGATGGATAGATGGATAGATAGATAGATAGATAGATAGATAGATAGGGAGGAAGATAGATAGGAAGGTAGGTAGGTAGATAGATAGATAGATAGATAGATAGATAGATAGGAAGAGAGGTAGGTAGGCAGATTGGGAGGTAGGTAGATAGGTAGATAGATAGATAAGATAGATAGGAAGGTAAGTAGGTAGGTATATAGATAGTAGATAGATAGATAGATAGATAGATAGATAGATAGATAGAGAGGAAGGTAGGTAGATAGGGAGGGAGATAGGGAGGGAGATAGGTAGGTAGGTAGGTAGGTAGGTAGATATGGAGGAAGGTAGGTAGATAGATAGATAGATAGATAGATAGATAGATAGATAGATAGATAGAAAGATAGATAGATAGATAGATAGATAGAGATACTAGAACTGATGGATGGATGGATAGACAAACAAACACTAGAACTGATAGATAGATTGATTGATCAATAGATAGATGGAGGTAGGTAGATAGGTAGATTTATTTATTATCTATTTATTTATTTACTTCATTTATATACTGCTTTTCTCAGCCCTCAGGGGACTAGATAGATAGATAGATAGATAGATAGATAGATAGATAGATAGATAGATAGATAGATAGAAATCCTAGAGCTGGAAGAGACCCCAAGGGCCATCTAGTCCAACCCCAACTGATAGATAGGATAGGATAGATATATAGGATAGATTAGACAGGACAGATAGGTCAGATGGATGGATGGATGGATGGATGGATGGATGGATGGATGGATGGATGGATGGATAGACAAACAGACAGACAGACAGACAGACAGACAGGAAGGCGACCTGTTGCCCTCCCCTCTGTGCCCCTCCCCCTCCCACCCCAGAGTGCCTCCCTCTGTTCCCGGCTCCTCCTCCAGGGGGCGCTCCTCCCCTCCTTCCTCGCCTGCCTGCCGTCCTCCCAGGAGGGCGCCTGGGCTGCCTTCCTCGGTGGGGCGTCCCTGGGGCGCATGGCTCCCCCTCCGTGGGGCGTCTCCGGGCGCCGCTCTCCCCGCCCTGCCGGGAAGAAGGAGCTGCTCCTCCTCTCCTCCTCGCGCCCCTTCCTGCGGGCTCCCCTCCGAGGCTGCTCCCCGCCTCCTCCTCCTCCTCCTCCGAGGCCGGTGCTCTGGTCCAAGTGGAGGAAGAGGAAGAGGAGGGGGCGCCAGGCCGAGATGACCGTCAAGCTGGACTTCGAGGAGTGCCGCAAGGACTCGCCCCGATTCAGGTGGGTCCCACCGAGGGGGAACTCTCCGCCGTTGGCCGGGCGCCTCGGGCCGGCTTCGGACGCGCAGGGAAAGCCGTGCCAGGCGCCGGCTCTCCCCGCCCGACTCTCGCCTCCAGCTGCAGAATCCGAAGGGGAACCCCAAGGGGCATCTAGACCGACCCCCTTGGGACCATTCCCGCTTCAAGTGGGAGAAGGCTGGAGAATCCTCCAGTGGGGAGAAGACCCCTAAAAGCAGGCAGGGGCCAAGTTGGGCCCTCCAGGGGTTTGGGACTTCAACTCCCACCACTCCTAACAGCCTACCGGCTGTTAGGAATGGTGGGAGTTGAAGTCCCAACCCCCTGGAGGGCCCAACTTGGCCCCTGCCTGCCCAAAGGCCACTTCTGGTCACTCTTAAGTCAAGGAAGAGATTGACAAAGGGGAAGGTGTCCCCTATATCATCCTAAAGTTGGAAAGGACCCCAAAGGCTATCTAGTCCGTCCAACTTTTGGTATTTCTGGGCTCTGCAGAAGTGACTGACAAAGTGGAAAGTGTCCAGAGGAGGTCACAGAAAGCTAGAGTTGGAAGGGACCCCAAAGGCCATCTACTCCCATCCATCTATCTATCTATCTGACCCCTTTTTACTTTATCTATATTATTATCTATATTATATTATCTATATTATTATTACTATTATTATTAGTGTTGGAAGAGACCCCAAAGGACATCTACTCCAACCCCCTTTTTATATTATCCATATTATTATCTTTATTATATTTATATTATTATTACTATTATTGTAAGTGTTGGAAGGGACCCCAAAGGTCATCTAGTGCAACCCCCCCTTTTATATTATCTATATTATTATTACTAATAGTGTTGGAAAGGACCCCAAAGGCCATCTAGTCCAACCCCCTTTTTTATATTATCTATATTATATTATCTATATTATTATTACCATTATTATTAGTGTTGGAAGGGACCCCAAAGGTCATCTAGTCCAACCCCCTTTTTCATGTTATCTATATTATTATCTATATTATTATTATTACTATTGTTATTACTATTGTTATTAGTGTTGGAAGGGACCCCAAAGGCCATCTAGTCCAACCCCCTTTTTCATATTATCTATATTATCATCAGCATCATTATCATTATTATTAGTGTTGGAACATAAGGAAGAACTTCCTGACTGTGAGAGCCGTTCAGCAGTGGAACTCTCTGCCCCGGAGTGTGGTGGATGCTCCTTCTTTGGAAGCTTTTAAACAGAGGCTGGATGGCCATCTGTCAGGGGTGCTTTGAATGCAATATTCCTGCTTCTTGGCAGAATGGGGTTGGACTGGATGGCCCATGAGGTCTCTTCCAACTCTTTGATTCTATGATTCTATGATTCTATGAGACTCCAAAGGCCATCTAGTCCAACCCCCATCTTCTAGACAGGAAAAGCACAATCAAAGCCCTCCAGATGGACGGCCATCCAACGTCTGTTTCAAAACTTACAGAAAGGGGACGCCACAGGACCCTAGGCCAGGCATGGGCAAACTTCGGTTCTTCAGGTGTTTTGGACTTCAACTCCCATTGCTTGGCAATACAGGTCAAAAGAGATATTGAGTTGTGGTGAGTTTTCCGGGCTGTATGGCCATGTTCTAGAAGCATTCTCTTCTGACGTTTCACCCACATCTATGGCAGGCATCCTCAGAGGTTGTGAGGTCTGTTGGAAGCCAAGAAAATTTGGTTTATAGATCTGTGGAATGATGTCCAGGGTGGGAGAAAGAACTCTTGCCTTTTGGAATAGGTGTGAATGTTTCAATTGACCACTTTGATTAGCATTTGATGGCCTGACAGTTTATAGGTGTTTTTAGGAGGCTGGGGGAATTCTTTGTTGAGAGGTGATTAGCTGTTCCTGATCGTTTCTTCTCTGGAGTTCCCCTGTGTTTGTGTTTTGTTTGAGGTTGACACTTGGAAAATATCAAAGTCCATGTCCCTTCTGCCAGGCAGATATAATCTATCTATCTATCTATCTATCTATCTATCTATCTATCTATCTATCTATTATTATTATTTAGAATTGGAGGAGATCCCAAAGGCCATCTAGTTCAACCCCCTTCTGCCAGGCAAGAAGATAATAGTCTCTATCTATCTATCCATCCACCCATCTATTGTTGTTGTTGTTGTTGTTATTATTATTATTATTATTAGAGTTGGAAGAGACCCCAAAGGCCATATAGTCCAACCCCCTTCTGCCAACCAGGAAGATGATATCTGTTGTTGTTGTTGTTGTTAGAGTTGGAAGAGACCCAAAGGCCATCCAGTCCAACTCCCTTCTGCCAGCCAGGCAGATAATAATATCTACTTATTATTATTAGATTTGGAAGAGACCCAAAGGCCATCCAGTCCAACTCCCTTCTATCAGCCAGGAAGATAATAGTGTCATTATTATTATTATTATTATTAGAGTTTGAAGGGGCACCCAAAGGCCAATCCAACTCCCCTCTGTCAGGCAGGAAGATAATAATACCTATTATTATTATTATTATTATTATTAGATTTGGAAGATACCCAAAGGCCATCCAGTCCAACTCCCTTCTGCCAGCCAGGAAGATTTATTATTATTATTAGAGTTGGAAGAGACCCCAAAGGCCATCTAGTCCAACTCCCTTCTGCCAGGCAGGAAGATACTATTATCTATTCTATTATTATTATTATTATTATTATTATTATTAGAGTTGGAAGAGACTCCAAAGGCCATCTACTCCAACTCCCTTCTACCAGGCAGAAAGATTATCTATATTATTATTATTATTATTATTAGTGTTGGAAGAGACCCCAAAGGCCATCTAGTCCAACCCCCTTCTGCTAGGCAGGAAAAGCACAATCAAAGCCCTCCAGACTGATGGCCATTGAACCTCTGTTTCAAAACTTACAGAAAGGGGATTCCACAAGACCCTAGGACAGGCATGGGCAAACTTTGGCCCTCCTTCAGGTGTTTTGGACTCTAACTCCCACAATTCCTAACAGCTGTTAGGAGTTGTGGGAGTTAGAGTCCAAAACACCTGAAGGAGGGCCAAAGTTTGCCCATGCCTGCTCTAGGCAATAGCATATCCTTCCAATATTTAAGCATGGCTCTCATGTTGCTTCTCAGCAACCTATTCATCTTGTTGATGCAGCCTGGAGTCCCATTGGCCTTTTTTGCTGCCACATCACACTGTTGTCTCATGTTCAGCTTGTGGCTTCCTGAAACCTCCTTGCTCCGTTATGAGGAGCCTCTTGCGCTCCTCCCTTGAAAAAAGTCCTCCCAAATCCTCCCATTCTCCCCTAAATGCGCCCTAAAACCCTTCCCAAAGAAAGAGCATCACAACATAACTTTTCCATTCTAATTCAATGGAGTTTTGGGGGGTTCTGCAGGAGTTTTTCAACTTTGGAGAAGGTAATGCCAATAAGTTGTTTTGCAAGTGTGATCGACTGGGGATTTGGAGATTTCTAAGTCCAAAAAACACGAAACTTTGGACCAGCTGTAGCTCTGAAACCAGAAAGCAGAATTCCCTCCAGAATTCTCTGCAGCTGTGTTTTCTTTCAGGCGCTCTTCTCTTTTTATTTTTTGACCAAAGACCTTGGAGAAAGTTACTTTTTGGGACTGGAGTATCCATTTTTGACCAATGGAATGAAAGCATGGGGAATGTGCCTTTCTTTCATTATTTTCAAATCCCGCCGGCAGCATAGTTTTGTAGAGATGTCGTCTTTCACCAAAAAAAGGGGAACTTTTTTCCAAGCTTTTGGAACATCGTGGTGTTTGTTTGACAAAGCGGAAAAAAAGAATATCACTTTAAGGAGCCAAGGAAGAAGTGACTCATGTGGCTTCTCTCTTAAGGGAGGTGGGACTGTTTGCTGCCAATGAAGGTTGCCAACTTTTCCAATCAGCCCTGCTCCTGCGTCTCTCTCTGTCAGCCCATAGATCTGAAGAAACCAGCTGGGTAGGAATGGGATAATATCCCTTTCTTGCCAGGGAGGATTTTACCTTCTCTTGGCTGCCTACAAGTTGAGCACAAGAGCAATCGTAGCTTGCTAAGTTGGCAACCTCGGTGGTAAAGCATGCTCATAGGAAAATTGGGACCATTTCCCTTTTTTCCTGCGAGGATTTTATGTTCTGGGTTGTTGTAGGTTTTTTCTCTAGAACATGGCCATATCGCCCGAAAAAACCTACAACAACCCAGTGATTTCGGCCATGAAAGCCTTCGACAATATTTTGTGTTTTCTTTGCTGGCTGCAGGTTGAGCACAAGAGCAATCGTAGCTTAGTAAGTTGGCAACCTCAGTGGTGAAGCATTCTCATAGGAAAAATGGGACCATTTGCCTGTGAGGATTTTGTGGTCTCTTTGCTGCCTGCAGGTTGAGCACAAGAGCAATTGTAGTTCGGTAAGTTGGCAACCTTGTTAGTGCAGCACGCTCATAGGAAAAATGGGACCATTTCCCCTTTTACCAGGGACAATTTTGCATTCTCTTTGCTGCCTGCAGGTTGAGCACAAGAGCAATCATAGCTTGGTAAGTTGGCAACATTGGTAGTGAAGCATGTTCATAGGAAAAATGGGACCATTGTCCTTTTTGCCAGGGAGGATTTTACCTTCTCTTGGCTGCCTTCAGGTTGAGCACAAAAGCAATCATAGCTTGGTAAGTTGGCAACTTTGGTGGATTTTTTTGTTTTGTTTTTGTCGTGTCAGGAGCAACTTGAGAAACCAAGTCGCTTCTGGTGTGAGAGAATTGGCTGTCTGCAAGTACGTTGCCCAGGGGACGCCCAGATGTTTTGATGTTTTAACATCCTTGTGGGAGGCTTGTCTCATGTCCCCGCATGAGGAGCTGGAGCTGATAGAGGGAGCTCATCCGCCTCTCCCCGGATTCGAACCTGCGACCTATTGGTGTTCAGTCCTGCCGGCACAGGGGTTTAACCCACTACGTCACTGGGGGCTCTTTGGTGGTGAAGCATGCTCATAGAAAAAATGGGACCATTTCCCTTTTTGCCAGGGATGATTT